AGGCCTCAGGGCATGCCCAGATCTGGGTCCAGAGCCTGGGCTGCAACAAGGGGTCAGTGCAAACCTGGCAGGGAGCAGGGCAAGGGCAAAACCAGGGTGTACTGCTGTTCGTCCCACATTTCCTTCCCCTTCTCCTAAGCTCTGCCCAGCTCATGGACAAACCCCTCACCTCCAGGTAGCTCCACTGCTGCTCATCACCCCTTGAGTCCCATAGGAAATGGTCCTGAAAGTCCTTATTCCAGGCAACTTTTATTGCTAAAAAGGCTTTCCTTTTCCCCAGGGGAGTTATTTCAGGCCCCTCTGAGCAGACAGTGCCCACTCCATAAGCTGTCCTGCCCACCCCAGCACCTCACCTGCTCAGCTCCCAGATGCGGACAGAGTTCCCAGTGGCAGCATAGAGCATGGTGCCAGTGGGGTTCAGAGCAATCTGGTTGATCTGGTGCTCCCCCTGCACACTGGTGACCGTGCGGGTGCTGGTCCCAGCACAGGCATCCCCAGAGATCACCTGTCCAGAAGATCTAACGGAGACAGAGGTCAAGCAGGGAGGTTGAGTGGAGACATGAGACACTGAGGCCCCACTGAGGAACCACATGGGTCCCCTCACCCCAAGCTTTCTCCCAGCCTCCCGGTTCCTTAAGGATGCAGCGCTGGCACTGGTATTTGGCCCTGTCCCCAGCCCCAGGGGACTAACCAGCCCCTAACCCTAACCCTGGCACTGGCTTCTGCAAAGCCCAGAGAAGCCCATGGTCCCCCCAGCTTCTCCCATCTGCCACATACGTGAGGGTGCGGATGCAGCGGGCTGAGTCCCGGATGTCCCACACTTTGATGTATGATGTAGACACAGTGAACACCAGCCCTGTGTGGCTGCAGTACTTGATGGAAACCACGTTGTTTGGGTGACCCTTGAGGGAAGCAATTTCTTGGCCCGTTACCAGGTTCCACATTTTGCAGCTTCGATCTGTGGGAGGAAGATCATGCCCAGGAGTGTCAGGATGCTGGGAAGCCTCCCTCCAAAGCCATGGTGACTTGAGGGCAATACCTTCTCTGAGCATCACCTCCCCACACCTTCAGGATCAGAGGAAAGGAGCCAGCCACAGCACTGGGGCAGGGTATGGCAAGGCTCAATGCTGAGGACAGACAAGAAGCCCAGGAGGAATCATCCTCATGGTGCCCAGCACTTCACATAGAATCCTAGAATCAACCAGGTTGGAAAAGACCTTTAAGATCATCAAATCCAACCATTCCCCAGCACTCCCAGCCCCACCACTAACCCAAGGCACTGAGGGCCTCAGCTACACGGGCTGTGAACACTTGCAGGGACGGTGACTCCAGCCCTGCCCTGGGCAGCCTGTTCCAATGCCTGAGCACCCTCTGGGCAAGGAATTGTTCCTCAGCTCCAGCTAAACCTGCCCTGGGGCAGCTTGAGGCCGTTTCCTCTTGTCCTGTCACTTGTTCCTTGGGAGCAGAGACCAGCCCCCTCCTGGCTCCATCCTTTTTTCAGGTAGTTGAAGAGAGTGATCATCCCCTGTGCTGACCTCTTGCTCCCACAATATCTGCAGGCCAGCAACCCCCATGTCCTCACTGTCCATCACCCACCTTTGGACCCAGTGAATAGCAGCTCATCGGTGGCATCCAGGCAGAGCACAGGCTTGGTGTGTCCTTCTGCCATGGAGACGCATTGCAGAGGGGCTGTCCGGGCATTCTTGGTGCCACCCACCGGGTTAATGACACCCCTTGCATGGAAAAGAAAGAAAGAACAAGCGTGATGGGATGTGTGTGGAAGGCACTACACTACATACACAGTCCCGGGGGCATGCGAGAACAACAGCTGCCTCATACCAAGCATCTTCCACCACCTGGCAGTGCCACGGGCCCCTCCATCTGAACCCAGCACATCTGAGCAATGGTCTTCATGGATACCCTGGGAATCTCCCCAGAAGCAGCCCCTGTCCCATCAATACACACTGGCACAGCGGGGGTGCCCAGTGGCCTCTGCTCTCCTGATGAATCTCTCATGCCTGGTCAGCACAGATCCAAGGAGCCAGGAGACCCAGTTTGTCCTTGGGACAAACTGCACCTTCTCCAGCCTGAAGCTCTGCTGGGATAAATGTCTCAGGGTACCAATCCCCAGCATCCAGCTCCTTAGAGGGTGTTAGCCTGGGGCTGGTGACATTTGGAGACAGGGCCACTGTTCCTTATATAAGGGTACAAAGGACAGCACAGGATTTACACCCAGCATCCCTGTTACTGTGGGAACCCTGCAGCCACCACTGGCTCTGGGCTTGAGAGGACCTATCCCTGCCAAACCTTCCTCCAAGGGACACTTGCTGCCTGTCCCTCTCAACACAGCATTGCCTCCACTTTGGCAGTGCTCAGGGTGCTGAGAACCAACAGCCCTACCCTTCAGGCTCTTCCAGAGTCTAGTGTGCAAGGCCACCAGCAGCTCTTCCCAGCTGGTGTCCCAAAGCAGCCTGGGGTTGTGCTTGTCTCTTCTTATAGGCAGGGAAACTGAGGCACGGGGCAGGAGAAGGCCAGACCCAAGGCCACAAAAGGTTTACATTAGTCATTAGGACAAACAGGCTCGTTCATTTGGGTTTGGAAATCACATGCGTGTCGCCTGAGTTAGCAGCTGCACTTCCAAGCTCATATGAAAACAGCCCTGTCCTGACCTCTAGCGTTTCCTCCAGTCGAGGTGACACTGAATCCAAATGCAATCCTAGTTCCCAGAGTGAGATGTTATCGATGGGACTTTGTGTTGCTGCCTGACTGCAAACCACCCAAAGTGACACAGCACAGACTCATCTGGGGCCAACTCCCCTGGGAACCCAGGGCATGGGCAATGTGAGAGGACACCTGTGTGCTTGGAGGTCTGACGTTCCTAAAAGTTGCAGGAAAGGTGGCTGGGAAACCTCCATAGGCAGGAGGGTGCAGTGGGACCAGGAGCTCCTGCATGCCCAGGCTGACCTCTGCACCACAATTTGACTTGGTTTCTCTGGGAAGGAGATCTACCTACCCACAACCCAGCATGAGGGAAGCACAACCAGGTACAGGGAGCACCTGGAGATATCTGCCTGGAAGAATCTTGGAAAAAGGACACACTAGGAGCTCCCAGCATTGCTCCCATCACGTCATCCTACTGGAGAGCTGGGGAACAGGATGGGACGTTGTGGCATCATGCTGACAAGAACCCATCAGAGAGAGAGAACACAAAATGATGCCACCCCAAACCATCCAGTGCCTGAAGGTGAGACC